AGCTAATCATCAGTGTGTTGTAGTGATGTCATACAGTGTAGCTAATCATCAGTGTGTGTTGTAGTGATGTCATACAATTTAGCTAATCATCAGTGTGTTGTAGTGATGTCATACAGTTTAGCTGATCATCAGTGTGTGTTGTAGTGATGTCATACAATTTAGCTAATCATCAGTGTGTTGTAGTGATGTCATACAGTTTAGCCAATCATCAATGTGTGTTGTAGTGATGTCATACAATTTAGCTAATCATCAGTGTGTTGTAGTGATGTCATACAATTTAGCTAATCATCAGAGTGTTGTAGTGATGTCATACAATTTAGCCAATCATCAGTGTGTGTTTTAGTGATGTCATACAGTTTAACCAATCATCAATGTGTGTGTTGTAGTGATGTCATATAGTTTAGCCAATCATCAGCGTGTTGTAGTGATGTCATACAATTTAGCCAATCATCAGTGTGTGTTGTAGTGATGTCATACAATTTAGCCAATCATCAGTGTGTGTTGTAGGGATTTCAGTTAATATAATTAATTAATTTCAATGCTTTAATTAATAATAGCCTGTTTGTTGAAATGTTTTCCTGTTTTCTTTACTATTCAGAGGTATTGTTCCCATTACGTGTGATGAACTCTTCAATGCCATGGCAAAAGGAAAGTCTGACATTGTGAGTAATATATTGTGCTTGGTAAAGATAGAATTGTTGTTGGATTATATAGGGGAAAATATTTCACATTCTGTTACACTGTATGCACATTTTTTCTAGGTTTTCTAATCCACTCAAAAATTCATTTTGCATTTTATGTTGATTCCAGAAATATCAAATTACATTTTCCATGTTGGAAATTTACAATGAACAAGTACGTGATTTATTACAAAAAGTCACTCCTAAAGGTGGCCTTCAAGTCCGACAGAATCCTAAACTTGGCCTGTTCTATGTACAAGATTTGAGGAAAGTTGCTGTAGGTAGCTACAAAGAAATTGAGAAAAGAATTGCTGAAGGTAGGTGTGCCAGGAATACAGGCATGTCGTATCAATGTATTAACCTTTTCACCACTAGACTTTCTCGCCCAAATTTGTCTGTACTTTTTTCTTATATTCTTCAATATTTCTGAAAATGAACTCTAATTTTGGAGCCAACAAACAACATTTGAGTAAATTTTCAGTTTTTACTCAAAAAAATGTGGCTATTTGTGTTAAAATTTTTTAAAGGAAAGTGCAGACTA